ATTCTTCCCAGTTATCAGTCCATCGATAAGCTATTAGTAGTTCATGCGGCCTGAGCTCAACGAGTAAAAATTTCCCAGCGCTCCTTTACCAGCATATGCCAGGCTACTAAAAGGCAGGATTGCATGACCTGTGACTCGATAGTGTTGAAGATATACTTAGTGTCATGTGGCGAAAACGTTTAAAGTTTTGAAGGAGAGGCAGAGGTATACATTCTGTAGGGGTTTTTTCCGACGTCATTAAATAACTTCTAATTTTCAAACTTTGAGCAAAAAAATTATCGAGAATTCTGCTTAGATCGCAGTGCTCTGTGTTTATCTTTAATTCGTGATACCGGCGAGCAGGAGAATATAGGATGGGAAGATGTGTTGACAGCGCGACAGTACATGGAATACATCGATTTATCCGGTTACGCTACTCAGTTCAAGTACCAAAAAGTAGTTTTTCTGCAGTGTTTCGGCAAACGTTTCGATTTTAATATAATGCTTTGTGACACCGATTTCTGCTTCATCTTAAAGAAATTAGCCACAGCCAATGTGATACAGTTTATAGTCCGTCCGTCCAGACAGTCGGTTCTGGCGCATCGTGTTAATAACATTTTTGGGGTACTACTGTATGCTCTGCGCAGTGATGCCTGACCGTTTGATTCTGCGTTGTACGTTTTCTCCAAATCGTCATTATCTTATTCAGATCAGTTCGCTGCATTCAATAGCATCAGCGTTGGCAAGCTGCTGTGGCTTGGGAGCATTTCAGTCCAACACGGTTATGATCGAATATCCATCACAGTTTGTGCTCAATTTCTCTGATTTACCGGGATATCTTAGCCTCTATACATAATCAAATTTCCAGCGGCATTAATCGGTTATTCGACTAATCGTCGCATAAATTGCAGAGCCGCATTAAGTGGTCTTCCGGATTCTCTTCTTTATCACTATCACATGCATCGGGTTTGCGTCCAGCATTCTAATTTGGTCGTTGTCAAAGGCACTTTTCCTTTGAAAATGCAGGTAATAAGCTATTTTTTGCTTTTTTTTT